GCAGTGCTCCTTGAACCACCCCGCCACCAGCGGGATATCCTCGGCTCTCCTGGTCCGCCCGGACCGCCGGTTGAAGGGGTAGGGAGCCCACAGCAGCGCGATGCCGGCTGCTGTGGCGTCGGTGTAGAGAGGCGTGGAGGAGAGGAGCGGCTCGACGCCCTCCGGGAGGGACCACTCCTCCTCCTCGAGTTCTTCTTCCAGGGCTGCGCGCGAGGCTCGGGACTCGGATCGGTAGTGCGGGATGGGGTGGATGAGCGGGTCGTAGTAGAAGGCGGGCAGGTCTGGGTCCTCTGACTTGATGTACATCACCTGAGGGGGGGGAGGGGAAAGAGTAAGGGGGGGGTGGAGGGGGAGAGGAAGGGGCGGGTGGGGGGGGGGGGGGGAGAGGAAGGGGGGGTGGGCGGGGGAGAGGAGGGGCGGGTGGGGGAAAGAGAACACATGGGTAGGGTTAGTAATAGAAAGGGGGGAGCTCCGGATCCTCCGACTTGATGTGCATCACCTGAGGGGGGAGAAGAGGAAAAGGGGAGGGGGAGGGAGAGGGGGAGGGGGAGGAAGCGGAGGTAGAGGAAAGCGGAGGTGGAGGAAAAGGGGGGTCGAGGAAAGGGGGAGGGGAGGAAGGGGGTAGAGAGAAAGGAGGGGTGAGGAACAGGGGGGGAGATCACGAGGGGGGGGAAGGCGTAGGGGAAGGGGAAGGGGAGGGTACGGGAGGTGGAAAAGGGGGGAGGACGGGGGCGAGTGAGGTGGAGAAACCAAAAATTTAGGTATAGACGGGCAAGTGAGAAGGCAACCAAGAACAAGGGTTTGCAAGAGGAGTCGGGAGTGTGGGAAGGGGGGGAGGACGGGAGGCGAGTGGGGTGGAGAAAACACAAGGACGGGCAAAACCAACCAAGAGCAAGGGTTTGCAAGTGGAATCGGGAGTATGGGAAGGAGGTAAGGACGGGGTCGGGTGGGGTGGAGGAAACACAAGCACCATCCCCACTCCCCCATTCCATGACCCCCTCACCCCCAGCCCCAGACGCAGCCCCAGCCCCCGCCCCCGTCCCCGCCCCCGCCCCAGCCCCAGTTCCTCCAGCCGCCTCACCTGCGGCGTGTGGTAGGCCTGCACGGCGACCTTGCGCGGGCGGCTGTTGTAGAGCCAGGGGAAGGCGATGCGGTACTCGGTGCGGATGGGCGTGCGGATGATGAGCTTGCCGATGTCGTTGAACTCGTTCCAGTCCTCCTCCGCCTCGGGCTTCTCGCGGAACAGCGGCTCGAACTTGGGCCCGCCCGGGATGCACATGTTGAGCGCCTTCGCCGTGAAGAACGAGTTCAGATCGAAGAGGTAGAAGTAGTTCTCGTCGATCAGATCCGATAGAAGCTGACCCGCTAGGCGGAACAGAGTTGCTTGGATTGGCACGCTCAGCTCCCACTTGCGGTAGCTCGGCCCGTTGACCAATCGCGTGTTGACAAGCGGCTTGGAGTCGTAGAACCAATCGTAGACCGCCGAGTCCTCCTCCTCGTCAAGCTCCAATTGGACGGCATCGAGAGGGTCCACGTGGAGCACGTTCTCGGCGTAATCCAACGGCGGCTCTTCGTCGTCGAAGGGCGGGAAGCGCATGCGCTTGAAGTGGCGGCGATCGCGCTTCTCGCGGCGCATCATGATCCACATGGTGCCCCACTGCGCCATGTACACGGACGGAATCACCAGCGGCGTCTCGTTCACGAACGTGATGGCGCCCGTTATGTGATACAGCACCTTCACGTGCCGCACCTGGTGCACGGACGGGATGCGAGAGGATCGAGAGAAGACGAAAGCAGAGAAAGATTAGAGGGATGGCACAGCGAACGGAATTGGAGAAGAAGGAAGGAATTTGTGAGAAGGAAGGAATTTGTGAGAAGGTGGTGACCAGATCCATGGATGAAAACGATTGAAGGGGAAACGACGGAAGACTGGGCGATGGAAGAATAAAAAGAAAAGGGGAATAAACAAAACTACAAAGACCAATCGAAATTGATGAAAAAGGAGGCAATTTGTAAATAAAATCGACAAATCCTGGAAAGGAGTGAATGACCTAGCCAAAGCAGAACAATAGGAGATAAACAACGGAAATTGAACGAAAGAAAAGAACAAATAAAGAAAGAGAAAAGGCAAGCCCACCTGCTCCCACGGCATCGGCATGTTTTCCAGAAGCTTCAGCACCGCATGCGGCACGAACTTGAGAGCGCCGAGGTACACGCGCTTATCGCGGCGGAACTTGCGCGAGCTCATGTCGCCATGATCGCGGACGATCTTGCGCACGTGCTCCGGCGGCATGTCCTCCTTCTGGTGCTCCACATACCCGAACCGCCGCTTCTCCGCGTACCGCTTCTGGTTCAGCTGCTGCCACTTCCTCGCCTTCTCCTCCAACGCGGCTTCGGAATTTGGAGGTAACGCATGCTGCTGCTGCTGGCTGCTGCTTCCCGGACCGGAATAAGGGTAGCGGCCCGCCATGGCTCCGTGAAACGAAAACGACGGTAATTCTGCAAAAATGACGACCTATAAATGTCTAACTAAACGGATGACGGCTAAAAGAAAAGAAAAGGTAAAGAGAACGATTTGGCCAAGATAAGCTGGGTCACCGATCTGAAGTCTCGGAACAAAACACGTAACTCCGATTCAGATCGCAGATCTGGAAAAAGAAAAGGTCGACGCTAAAACTAGGCCGTGAGATGATCTTATCGCAATGCCCTTACCCTGCGTCTAGGCGACAGACTGATCCGGATGGCGCCATGTTCACGCAAGGCAAGGAGATGGCGCGTTGGCGAGAGCAGCAAGAAACCCTACCAGCAGCAATTACGGCAGAGCAACCTAGAGAATTTCTTGTTGCAAGAGGATAACATGAGGCCGGCCTATTTGTATCCTTATACCGCACGAGACCTTCCTATATCCTTTTGCACCATGCTCGACTCCTTATTGATTCACTCTGCATGCAGACTGGGATAAGCCCAAAGCAAGCAGCCTGAAACTATCAAGAAAGGACGCAACTTTTGGTTGATTCGCTTCGAAACGTTTCGTTACACGAGAAGTATACGAGAATATACTTCTTACGTATCCAGGAAAAGTACTGCCAACCAAAGTTCTCCAGCAAAGCATCAGCAACGAGATCGTAGGCACTGCACGTTGGGTCACACTCACTATAGGGTACAGCTGTGGCTCACCACGTCAGCCAACTTTCCCCCTCCCCAACCCACTCCAAGAAAACAGCACTTGCCCCGCCACAGCTGTAAATTCTGCCGCCAATCTTTGAAATCTGCCCCAGCTGAACGCGCAATTTAGCCCACTTCCACTTTTTCCCCCCCTGAGGCGCAGACCTCCTTTCCCCCATCTCCCCCTTCCTTCCCTCGCACCTCTTCCTCTCCTCCTACCTGCGCCCTCCTCAAAGCCCCAATAGCAGCATAACTGCGACCCTTTCGCCCTCCTTTCTGCCTCTACCCACCGTTCCTACTCCTCCCTTAGTCGCACGAGCACCACTCCACCCGAACAGCCACAATGAAGGTTGTCGCCGCTTACCTCCTCGCGCTTCTCGGAGGCAACGCGAGCCCCGCCGCTGCCGATATCAAGGGCATTCTTTCGTCAGGCATGTGCTCGCTAACCCTTTCGGCCTCGCGATGCGCTTTAGGGTTTAGAGCTGACACGATTTTCATGGAATTATTCGATACACGAGAGGCCCGAAGTTTAGGAGGAGTAATCTGGCGGGAGCTTTGATCGTCGGACACTTATTTTTTTCGCAAATTTCGAGCGTTCAAGCTCTCCAGAAGTCCATAACTCTAAGTCGTCCGCCTCCTTCTCCCCACCCGCCACATCCCCCTTCCCCCACTTTTCCGTCGTGGCCCCGCCTATTTTCTTCTTCCTGATCCCGCAGTTGGCGCCGAGGCCGATGATGACAGGATAGATCTGCTGCTGAAGCAGCTCGAGGGCAAGGACATCAACGAGGTCATCGCGGCCGGCCGAGAGAAGTTCGCCGCGGTGCCCAGCGGTGGCGGCGTCGCCGTTGCCGCTTCAGGCGGTGGCGGTGCTGCTGCTGCTGCCCCCGCTGAGGAGAAGAAGGAGGAGAAGAAGGAAGAGGAGAAGGAAGAGTCTGACGACGTACGTACCATTCGTTTCATCTCCAATGTTGTTTTGTTTGCTTAACCTTCTCCACGTCGTCCCCCCGCCCCTCCCGTTTTTCTACTTTCCATATGCTGGATGCTGTTGTCCCTTTCCCTTCAAACCCCGTGCCTTCTTCCTTCTTCCGAGACGCGTAGTCGTTGTTATCGCCAAGAAGCGTGGCCGAATTAGATAGAGCGAGACAGCGACGTGCACCGCTGGTCCCTGGGAACTTATAATCAGGAGGGGGTTTAGTTGAACTTGAAGACCGACTGAAGGCTGTCTCTCTGCGTAGCCCTAGCAGAACCACAACATTGCTACTTGCTCGGCGACAGGGGGTTTGTTTACGAGAGTTGGAAGCTGGTAGTATATGGATCCGAGCAGTCTTACAGTGGAGGGAACAGTTGATGGTTAATTACTTGGAGTAGATGACATTACAGGTCGTCTAACTTTCGCGCAGGCTTTTAGCAGTGATTCATTAGCTCCCTACAACCCGTTGCGTTTTTCCTTATACCAATTTTGGTTCCATGTGCCTTACCCCTCTTTTACGATGTGCAGGATATGGGTTTCAGCCTGTTCGACTAAGCAATGTCTCCACTCCGATTTGCTCTGCACATTGTCCATCCGTTAGGGTTCTCCATGCCTGAGCCCCTTGTCTTATATCACTGACGGAATGAGCATTATTTGTGCAACGTCCAGAAATGTATAGCACTTCCTCTCCCACATTTCTTGAAAGAGTTCCAGTGAGAGCGGGGGTGTGTTACGGTATGAGCATTTGGGGAATGTTAAAATCAATGAAGAATACGGTAATCAAACTTCTGAATCAGCTAAAACTACACCTAGAAACTGAAGTATAATGAATGTGGCCACTCCTCTGAGCTAGCTACTCCACAGTCTACTGGCAAGCAGCATCTCCAACTGTCAGGCGCCTTGCTTGAAAAGAATGCATCACCTTCATCCTCAAATCCCTCTCCAGGTCTGCTTTCCTCTGTTCATCTGCAGTGATTGTCTTGTGATGCTCCTGAGATTCCATCACAGCCTTGCCTGCTGCTGCCAACTTCGGCATGGAAACCCAATCAGGATCCTCCTCAGGTTGTGAAATGTCAGCAGGACCATCCAGGAGCACAGTGTCGAGCCACCTTCTGTCTCTCTCCTCGAACTCCTGGGAACAGATTTGAATCTCCGCATCCTGCTTCATTGCTTCAGGTTCCATGATTGGGAGGGGCACCCAGTCATCTGGATGATCTCCACCGCTCTCCGTCTTCTTGCTCGCCTCCCTGGCAGCCTGCTTCTCCGCCTTACGTTGCCGCTTCTCCTCCCTCCTCTTCCGCCTCTCCTCCTTCCGTGCCCTCTTCTCTTCCTTGTGGCGCCGCCTTTCCTTCTTCCTTGCCTTCCTCTCGTCCCTTGTCTCCATACCCTCCCACTCTCCTGCGGAGCCTGCTGAATCCATCACGCCCTTCTTCACACACGACTCATCTTCAGACGAAATGTCCATGTCTTCAACCTGGTGGCTCGAATCTTGCTGGTCCGGGCTTCTGCAATGAGAAGGATCTTTGACTCCGCAAGCTATAGCAGCCAAGGCTTTAGAAGAGGCTTGTGCGTAACTGCAGGCAGCTTGAGATATAGCACCAACAAACCTTCCACCGTCAACACCAACCTGTCCAGTTGCACCTCCAATGTCCAAAGATCCACCAGCAGGATGTGCCGCAGCAGCACACTGATGGCTTTCAACATGAGCAGTGACAGGAGTAGCTACAGCAGAGCCCTCAGTGCACCGAGGCTGTCCTGCGTGCTTAGCTTTGTCGCATGGCCCTTCAAAACTCAGGCGCGCCTCAGGCTGGCTCTTCCGGCTGAATTGAGGAGAGGAAGGCCTCTTGAAACTCCTGGAAGCATAGACGAGAGAACATCAGCAAGAAATTCCAGCCTGAATTGAGGCATAATGCATTGAACAGGTCGCTTCTTTCTTGCCTTGGTTGGATCTGAGAACGTCGTTCTCGACGACATTCAAATCCTGGGGGTGGTGATTGGGGCTGCTGCGTATCTTGTATGTCGTGGGGCTCAGCGTTGATTTTTTTCTCAAATCCAGGAGGGTAAGTCATTTGCCGTTCAATGTTGACATTCAGTTCAGCCAGTGAATCAGTCTCATTCCGCGAGCAGTTGAATCCAGGTGGGTATGATGTCATGCTGGCGGAAATACGCCGGTTAGAGTTGTTGCTTCGGAAGGACCTTCCAGCTCCCTCCCTCTTGTATGCTTTTCCCGACGACCATGATTGTGTTGGGTTGCAGCTATTACGTCGTAAGTTGCGATGCCATTGAGGCTGTTGGTGAGAGTCAGAAAAACGACCAAATCTATGGGTATTATTGAGTGGAAATCGATCGCTGTGATTGTAACGATTTCCATGATGGTTGGAGAACCTTCTACGCTTGTGCGCATTGAAATCCCGTCGTTCAACTGCACTGTGAGAGCGCTTCCTGAAAAAACAAAAAGCACAGTAGAGAGTCAGCATATTTGGCCACTGTGCTGGAGGATTGTGATGAATGATGACTGGGAAAAGTACCTTCTCCAGTCTTCGTCATGTGCGTGGAAGTGATTGCTTCGGTTGCTTCTCTGCAAATCTGCATCTCCGTCGATCGTCGGAACCTCGTGGTCTTCTTTCGTCCCGCGTTCCTTTTGAGACTCCTCAAGGATATCTGACGAGAGCCTTGCAGCAGCTTCCAACGCTTTTTTTCTCGCATCTCCTACCTCAGTGGGCTGAATGAAAGAACAGAAGAAATCGTAAGTTGCAATAAAATTCACAGATTATGTTCGAGCAAAGAAACATCACAGCCTTACAATTAATCCATTCTCCTCGGCGAATTCGTCCAGAAGTTTCTGCGGAATCCCGTGCTCATTGCGATGAGCGTTACGGAGGATTTTCCACAATTCCTTCATGAAAGTAGTCGTGTGATTCTCCAGGAACCCTGTCAGCTGTATCTGCATGCGTTTGGGATCCACCTGCCATAATGAAACGTGAAATATAGCATAAGGTGTGTTTCACTAAACAAAGCACGGCCCGATCGCATTCCATAATCTGTAATAGAGCACACACCGCAATATTAGAAACAAATTTCGTGAAGAAAATATTTCCGCGCAAATAAAGCTCACCTCGTCTTGGAGTAGACTGAAAATGAAATTGATTAGAACCTCATCTTCAACTCCAAGGAGCTCAGTCACTCTTCTAGCAATCCACGGGTATATTACTTCCTTCTTCACTTTCTTCATATCCACCTGCAGAAAATGATCTATCAGGTGACGAACAAGCCCATACTACTTCGCATTGCAAGGTAAAGGATCCAGCTTACAGGTTTATCAAATATTTTTGCGAATCTCTGTGTCTTCAGGAGCTTCGTGTCTTTGTCCGAAAATCTAACATCCTGATCAGCGCTAGGCCCTCGCCACAGACCCTCAGCCATTACGCTGCTTACACCAGATTGTCCGACGGAACACTAGTGATCAGAGACGCCACACGGGCCTCGGTGCAGCGCTTTGGTTTCTGTTGACAGTCTCGTGCTTCATGGATGCAGTTGATCTTCAGCGGCATTTCGAACTTCAGAAAAACGTCGGAGCTGATCCAACAAATTCTCGAGGTCTTCGTGTCGCGCATTGATCATGCCTCCGTCGACATGTTCGAGGGGAACAGCTCTGAAACGGGATGTTCATCTGAATCTTCAGAATCGACAGTACACCCGTACTTGAACTAGAATATGCATAGCTAGCAGCAGCTAGCCATTAACTTGCCGTTAGTGAACCTGGAAATTCAATAAAAAATCATATTCATTGCAGGCAGAACAGACAGTCACCTGGCTTGTCCGAGTCAATCTCATGGGGCATGGCTTGCCGGTACCATTTATGTGCGTAGGCGGATGCTATAGGAGCACCTGCGACTGTTGGTCGATGCTCTATGTGCATCTGTATCTGGGGTGATGCTGTATGAGCATGTGTGACTCTTGGGTATTGCTGCATGAACATCTGTGTCTCCTGGGTGATGCTGCATGAACATCTGTGTCTCCTGTGTAATGCTGTATGAACACCTATGTCTGCTGGGTTATGCTGTCTGACACCTGTCTGCTGGGTTATGCTGTATGAACACCTGTGTCTGCTGGGTGATGCTGTACGAGCATCCACGAATGCTGTTTTCCTGGTTCGGTCTTGGTCGCACATGACCTGCTTCCCTGGTCGGGAGTGGTGGCTGTCTCCCTAATTGGGCTCTTTCTTTGCTTTGGCGCGTGTGTCTTCTTGATACGCCACAGCTGTGTTTGACTAGACATGGCTTCTCACTTTCTTGGGTGATTCTTTTGTTCTGGCTTCGTTTTGTGGGTGCACCTTACCATACCTTACCATACCTTGTCATGCTTCAGCATACCTCGCATTTCTCTACAATACCTTGCCATACCGTACCTTGCCATGCCTCCCTACCACTAGTATTGCTGATTCTACTGCTGCTATGCATACACCACTGCTACTGCCACGCCTGCTGTTGCTATTCCAGCTGGCTTCTGTTGACCTGGGCCAGAAGGCGATGCAGAGAGGATGAATGGGAGGACGAATGCCACCGGGGGGGAATAAAGAGGATAAGAATACTTTAGCTGGAAAGAATACGAGGGGCAAGAGATACGGGTATGAGAAACACGACTAAGAGGAGAAGAGACTGCTCTGGGGAAGCAGGAAACACTGCACTTGTGAAACTGGTGAGTTTAGGAAGCCTGGAAACAAGTGAGCTGAATGGCACAAGTGCGGTTTGAAGGCACGAGGGCATGGACTCGGTAAACAAGATAGCATGGCAAGCATAAGTGGGTGGGTGCAGCGAGGGCGATATTACTCACCCTCTGTCCTTGCTGCTTCCCCCGTCTCCTCCTATCCTCCTCTGCTCCTTCCCTCATTTCCTCCTTCCTTCCTCCCCTCCCCCCTTCCTCCATGCACGTTGATAGATTTGCTACAACCATGCCTGTTGCATGATGGGGGGAGTAGGGGAGTAAAGCAGATTCAAGGAGAATATGTTGGGAGGGACACGGATTCAGAGCTCAAAAACACAGAGGAGAATGGCAGAGGCAAAACATTCAAGGGCAAATAAGGTTTGACTGAAACATTGGAGGATAGGAATGGAAGCGACAATGCAGCTGAAATCCCACATGCTCTCTTCTCCACAAGTGAAATGTAAGGGGGTTGGGAAGGAGGGAGGGGAGGAAACACTACAGCAAGCACAAAGGCAGCGAAGAACATAAGCAGGGAAACATAAGCCAGAAGCAGACCATTTAAGCGATGGAGGAGAGTGGGGTTTACCCTGCGGCACGAACATCTAAGAGAATTTCTTCCTCTGCAGAACACGCTTGGTGACTTGCTGAGAATCCAGATGATTGTTGTATCTTTGCATCGCTCCCCTCACCCAGTCACCTGCTCGGATGGGGGTTAGTGGTATGTGGGAGTGCAGTGCAGGTCGCTACAGCAAGCAGAGGATACTCACCCGCACCAGAGCAGACACCACAGGAACAAGCACAAGACAGAGTGCGTCAAAAGCTGCAGAGAAACAGACTCGACGGAAAAACAAGCTCGCTTCTATGACTTGCCACACGGCGACCTAGACTGCTCTGCACCCCCAATGAATCCGCCCGAATCACTTACCATAAGGCTGTGGTGAGCAAACGACTGAGTCGGCTGAGCAGGCGGATCCTCATTCCTCAACCGCACAACATCTCTCCGCGACTCACTGGGACGCACTGTCGACGTGTCCCTGGGTCTCAGTCAGGCAGACCACCGAACCAGAGCAGCCAATGCAACACATCAACACGCACAGGGAGAATTTTGTCAGAAGCAGGAAAGAAACGGACTCGAAAGAAAACAAAGCTCGACCCTACGACTTGCCGCGCGGCGACCTAGACTGCTCTGCCCCCCCAATAGACCTGCCAACTACTTGCCATTGTTGAGTCAGTGCCTGAGACGGCTCAGAAGGCAGACCCGCACTCCTCACTCGCACGGCTCCTTCGTGGGACGCACTGCCAGCACGCCCCTCTGAGTGCCAGTGTTCACCCCGGCCACGCCACTGCGTCCCTCCGACGCACCACCGCTGGGAGCAACACTTTCTGTACCTGAGACGCCCATTCCACGCCTCTCAGCCCACCAGGCACCCGCACCGCACCAGAGCACACAGAACAGCAACAAACACACAGGAGAGAGCGTCAGAAGCAGCAGCAGAAACGGACTTGGATGAAACAAAGCTTGAATCTGAGACTTGCCGCACGGCGACCTAGACTGCCCTCAACCCCACAACAGACCCGCCCAAGAACTTACCTTGCGGTCACTGTAAGCCAGCCATGCACTGAGATGAGATGAGATGCGGCTCAGAATGCGGATCCTCCCTCGCTCAGTGCCTCCCCGAGGGTAATTGCAAGCACTACTGATGGTTCCATTGGCCTGAGGGGAGGAGGCATAGGAACCACAGCAACGATTGGCACAAAGGAGAGTGCGTCAGAAGTTGCAGAGAAGGCGGATCCGGAAGAAACAGCGTTTTTAAGACTTGCTGCGCGGCGATCTAGACTCCGTTCTCCCCCCCAATAGACCGTCCCAACCATTCACCATACTGCCGTGGCGAGCCAGTTTCTGGGATGACTCAGAAGGCGGATTATCATCCTCTCCTCAGTCCTCACCCGCGTCCCTGGGTCTCGGACAGGGAGACACCCAAACCAGAGCAACCAGTAGAAGGGAGCACAAGCATGCAGAGGAGAGTTCGTCAGAGGCAGCAACGAAAATGGACTCTGAATAAACGAAAAGCGAGTCTAAGACTTGCCGTGCGGCGACCTAGACTGCTTTAACCCCCCCTATAGACCCGTCAGCCACTTACAAGTCTGCCGTTGCAGCGAAACGCTGTTTGAAGATGCCTCGGAAGGCGGATTTTCTCTTGCCCGGCACCTTGTTGGGAAGCACGTCAGAGCGTCCCTGGGTCTCATTCCAAGAAACCCCCGAAAAAGAGCAGCCAATACAACACAGCAAGCAGCACAGAGAGAAGAGTTTGTCAGAAGCAGCAGCAGAAACTGAATCAGAAGAAACAAGATTTGACATTAAGACTTGCCGCGCGGCGACCTAGACTACTCTTTCCCCCCCCCCGATGAACCAACCCAATCGCTTACCATGCTGCCACGGTGAGGCCGTGCCTGAGACGACTCCTCACTCGCACCGCTCCGCTCTGAGAAGCACCAACCCTGAAAAGCAAAGCACGAATCCCCACCCGCACAGCACCACTCTGCGAAGCACCAGGCCTTGGCAGGACCCGTGGTTCTCAGTGCAGGAGGCACCACCAGAACCACAGCAGCAAACACAGCGCAGAAACGAGCACAAAGGAGAGTGCGTCAGAAGCAGCAATGAAAGCAGACTCAGAAGAAACAAGGATTGATTCCAAGACTTGCCGCACGGCGACCTAGACTGCCTTACCCCCACAAGGGACCCGCCCAGCCACTCACCGCGTTGAACCGAATTACGTGATGCCCCTCAGAAGGCGGATCCTCACTCCTCACTCGCACCGCACCTTCCTGGGTCGCGCTGTCAGCACGTCCCTGGGCCTCAGTCAAAGAGACACCCCAACACAGAGCAGCCAACACAGCACAGAGACAAGCACGGAAGAGAAGAGAATGCGTTAGCAGCAGCAGCAAAGGAAATGGACTCGGGAGAAACAAAACTCGATTCCAAGACTTGCCGCATGGCGACCTGGACTCCTTGACCCCCCCAGATAAATTCGACGAACGACTTACCGTACTGCACAATGTCATAGGGAACCAGTATAGCCTGCATTCCCGCTGCTGATCCCTCCCCTGCCTCCACCCATCGATCACGCAGTCGAGTCGAGTCCATGCGCCAGAGCAGAGCAGAGCGGAGCAGAGCCGAGAAGAGCCGAGCAGAGTGCAGTCCCGTAGTCAAGGAGGCACCGGAGAAGATAACACAGCCGAAGCAGAAGAACAAGAAGCAGCACAGAAAGGGGACTCGGAAGAAGCGTAAACGGATTCTGAGACTTGCCGCACGGCGACCTAGACTGCTCAACCCTCCCTGATACATTCGCCCAACGGCTTACCATACTGTGATGGTGAGGCAGTTTCTAAGGCGGATCAGAAGGCGGATCCCCACTCGCAGAGCCCCTCCCTTGGACGCACCACCCATGGCAGGGAGGACTGTTGGGGCGTGCACAGGCCTCAGTCAAGGAGGCACCAGAACCAGAGCAGCGCACACAACACAGGAGGCACAGAGGAGAGAGCGTCAGAAGCAGCAGAGAAAGCCGACTCGGAAGAAGCAAAGCCTGACTCTACGACTTGCCGCACGGCGACCTAGACTGCTTTGCCCCCCGTGATACATCCACCCAGCGACGTACCATGCTGCCGTGGTGAGCCAGTGGCTCCAAGGGCGGATCCTCACTTGCAGAGCCCCTCTTCAG